AACACAAATTAAGATGAACAACTATCATAACACCACGAAGCTACCAATGTCATCTCTGACCTGTATCTTGAATTTTATATGCCAAAAGGAAAGACACATACACTGGAGATAGCCTCGAATAGTCTATCCAGACCAATGGTGTTCGGTCTTGGCCATACACTGGAATCACCAGAGCAGCTTTAAAAAATACTGATGATAATCTATGGAGATAGAAATCAGAATAGTGATCACCTCTGGGCAGGGAGTGGGGACAACAGAAAAAAGGGATATGAAGTTTTCTAGAGTTTTTGCCATCTTGTGTTAGTTACAAGGTAAAAGTCAAACTATACACTTAAATTTTGTACATCTTATTATATGTAACCACAAAACTAAATTTCTTAAAAATACTGCTACCTGGGTCCTATCCCTAGAGATTCTGATGTATTTGGTCTAGCAGCAGCATGAGTTTTTTTTAAAAGCTCTCCATGTGAGTCTAATGCACAATCAAAGTTGAAAACCACTGCTTTAGATTCTATATTACAGGGTAAAACTGAAAGTCAGTAAACCCTGCTTACAATCTCAGGGCTCCCAATCAGCTTTTAGTCAATCATTCTTAATCATGAACAGACAACCAAGGATTACCAGACCTCTGAGGAAGGCATCTACTAATGAGACTACACCAAAAAGAAAAAAAGAGGATTAAAGGAAACAAACCATGCAAGGGGGAAAAAAAGCCTAAAGAAACTATCTTTAACATCCTCAGATAAAAGAAAATGTGGCATCCACGAAACAAGAAAAGAGATGGAGGAACAAGTAGAGGAGAGAAAGCTGAACCTACTGGCCTTCAAAAGGGAATATGGTCAAGAAGCAAGCTGATGTGGCTCATTCACAGAACTCCAGAGAGGCTCAGGACCTGGGAGTCTCCAGGTATAACATCAGTGGTGGAGAGGCATGGAGCTGAAGAGCAGGGCTGTGGTTGAAAACCTCTATAGAGTACAGTTAGACCTTCCAGGTTCCCTTCTCCACCACCATCCCTAACCTCTCATAAATTTATTCTCTGGAAACAATGACTTGGAGAGACTCCAGACTCAAGAATAGAGTGAGGTTCAAGGCTGAAAAACAAAGCATTAAGCAGAAATGTATTTAGCAAACAACCAACCCCATCCACAGCCCATTCCTTTACCAGCTCTCAGAACAGTGGGAGCCAGGCATATACCCCCAATACCCTCCCCTGAGTTTGATTTAGATTGCTCCTTTTGCATGCTGCCAAACCAATTTCCATCATAAGTACCACTCCTAGTAAAGGACAGTGGTCTTTTCTTTCTGTTCTACTACCCCCACTAGACTCTAAGCTCCTCAGGGGCAGGGCAGCATCTTAATCAGCTCTGTATACCCAGAGCCTAACACAATGACTGTCAATATACTAAACACTATAAAATCTTAGTGGTTCTAGACATTAAAGACACCATGCAAAAAATAAAATAAAACAAAATAAAAACTTAGTTGGACTACTAGAACATACAAGGTGTAATTTGGACTAGGTCATGAATAAAGAATGAAGACTTAAATTTATTAATGAAATGATGTCTGGGACTAATTTAAAATAATCCCAGAGGCCCCACCCCCACCCACCCAACCAAAAAAAAAAAAAAAAACCAGTGGTATTCCTATATGCTGGCCACA